TTATTTATTTATTGTAATGTTTATATATCTTTTTAACAAGTCATAATTATAAAATAATATAAAAAAAAAATTTGTAGTTGCTGAGGAAGTCCCCAGTAAGGGACGAAACGTTCAACAAGATCAAATAAATTTGTTCATCAAAATTTATTAACTGTCTTCAATTTTCCCTTTGAAACTCATATATATTGTTCAATACTTTTCTTCCTAATCTTTATTGTTTTTTCTGAAAATCCAAAAAATTCAACCCAAACAATGTTAATTCGTCAACGAGCCAAAATCATATTTTTATTCTTCTATAATCGATTAGATGTGTAAGTATACTAATTTATATTAACGTTAGAAAACAACAGGTTATTTTATATTAACATAAAACAAATGACAAATCTTTTGAATTCGTTCATTTCATTTGTTCGAATGAAACTCATTAGGAGGAACTCATTAGGGGTTTAAAATTAACGAAGGTGACTTTAATTTAAACAAATTGACGTATCTGTGTATATGTGTGTGTATATGTGAGAAAAAGAGAGGTATATATATACAGAAAAGGAAAGAAAGACAAATAGACATAGACATAGTTAATTTCGATAATGGAATCTCTCAACGATTTGGAATATTTCGTGTTGCAAGTAGTGGTAGACAATCCACCATCACAGTCACGAGACTTTATAGAATAGAAAATGATATTAGACTTTCTGAGTGATTTTCTCTTAGGCAAATAAAGATTAATTAAACGTAAGCTGTACTACGTTTCTAAGAGGTTTTCGACTACTTTTGCTTGCACTTTCGCCCCATTAATTTCATCCTAGCCATTCCATACAAATTTTCAACCATGCTAATTTTATTTCCCATAGCATTTGGATTTCTTCAATTGTGGTTTTTGCTTCGTTAATTCTATGACTAAATTTGTCATGTTTTCTTTTTTCTTCTTATTTTATTTCTTTCTCTCTCTCTCTCTCTCTCACTCTCAGTTTCAGTTTCTTTATCAATGTTCCCATCTTTTTCATTTTGATTAAAACCCCAAAGAAATTTCTTATAAGAGAAATTAATTGTGAATCGTAGGGGGGATTACCGTAGAAATGAACTTTTCGATGTTGGTGAAAGGAAATAGGAAATAGTCGGAGTATTTCCGTGCAATTTAGTTAGAGAACTGAGCATGATTCCAAGGGGTACACGCAATCCTCGCGTTTACACCAATTTAGTTTCACAAACGAATCGAGGATCCTACGTTTTTGCGACAAACTTGAATATCGCGTGCGGAACACTTCATCTCAATCTCGATTTTGTTCTGTTGATTAGTTAGGTCTGTCTAATTTTTACAATTACCTTTTTCTATCTCTCATTTTGATATTTTTCTAATAGTTAAAAAAAGGAACAACGACAAATTCTTAACCCTTTGAGTACATTTGACGTATGAGACACGTCATTCACTTTTTTTCCCTAGGAGGGGATGACGTGTTTAAGACGTCAAACTAAAAATTAAACTCTTGGGTACATTTGATGTCTGAAAAACGTCATTCATATGTTTTACCTAGTTGTGGATGATGTGTCTAAAACGTTATTTATAAAAACAACAATTATCCAACGAGTCTCATTCACATGATATTTAATAAGTTTAGATTAGTTAAAGAACAAGAAAAAGAACCAGACAACAACAAAATTATCAGATTCCCGTTTATCAAACCTTTGTCGAATAGAATAAATAAATGTTTCCAAAATACTAATGTCAAGTTGGTATTTTATTACTTAGTAAAAATAAATTCTATATATACGAAACTAAAAGACAAGGATGATAAACTAGAACAATCAAACTTAGTATATAAAATACCATGTGAATGTGAAAAATGTTATGTAGGACAAACGAAACAAAAATTAAAGAAACGATTAGACCAACATAGGAACGACAGTAAACCGAAGAATGCACAAAAAACAAATACCACCGCGTTGGCAGAAAATCATTTTAAAACAGGACATAATTTTAAATTCGACGAAACAAAAATTTTAGATAAAGAAGATAACTGGTACAAAAGAAATATCAGTGAAATGTACCATATAACGAACAATAATACAGTTAATTTTAGAACCGATACTAATAATCTAAATAGCACATATAACGGAATTTTTAAATTTAATTATCACAACAAGACACGTAACAGAGGTTACAATAATAACAAAGACAGGAAACACCAGCTTAGAGGTAACCAGGAGTGTTCGAAAAGTTATGGTAAGATAACGGTTTTAAAAATTGACTCTATATATAAGATAGTGAATACTTATGACTGTAATGAGAAATGATGATATATTGACTCGTGAACAATAACGATCGAGGTAAAATAACGCGATTAATTGTAAGTTTTTGTATTTGTATAAGTAATAATATGTCATAATAAAAATTTTAGTTGCTGAGGAAGTCCCAAATATAGGAACGAAACGTTCAACTGATTAATAGATTGTTCATCTAATTTAAACCTGTCGAAAAAAAAATATCCCTAAGATTAGTAATAATGTTATTTGAGAACGTTTTTGGTCCTTTATCACACTCTGCATAATTATTAGTAATTGCTTTTTTATTATAGCTTGTGTCAAATGGTTTATGTATTATTTAACCCGGATCCATACTTAAGGGTTGTTAGAAAAATTCCTTATATATTTTAAGGAGGGAAAATTTCCCCTTGCAATTCTAGACCCATTGTTGTGCTCATGGATACACGCAATGCCTAATACGACAGCTTTAATTTATTTCATTTAGTTTTAATTTGTTGTTATTAATTTATTTTTGTTTTTGCAATTGTAATTACTTGAAGACATACATCTTAATACTATACATATGTCAGCAATATTTTAGAAAATAAATAAATTCTTATGCAAAATCAACTGCTTTTACATACTACTCGAAACAACCTAAAATTAAATTCGTACCACATGCTAATATTTTCTCAAATAAATCCGTACCCAAAGGGTTAATAATAATAAATTTCAGTCGTTTTAAATCTCTTAAAATTACAATTGTTTTCTTATTAGGTAAATCCCCTCACCTGTGCAGTGACCATTCCTTTTCTCAATCTTCTTAGATCTGTGTGACTCCAAGCGTTGCCAGACCAAGGACGGATGTCACTGAGATCATCAAATCTGAATCCTCGTAGTTGATTCTTTAGGAACTTGCGTATATTCCACGGTAGATCGTTGTGCCTTTAACAAAAATAAAAATACGTAATAATTAAATTAAGTAGAACATTTTATTTGAACTTTAATTTTCTATTAGGTATGCAACTAAGTAATTGCGGATTTCGTTGATAGACAAATCACATTTAATTCAGTTTTTTGATAGCAAAGTATCCGAAATTATGACACTGCCTGAACGATGACAAAAAGGTTATTGACAAAAACGAACACAGTATTTAATTGAATAAAGTTATATTTTTAAACAAACATTTGGAATTTTCCTTTTCATTTATTAAAATCTACGATCAACTTAGTTGCCAATTTAATATTTTACATAATTTAACTTAAGAATAATTATTTTTAATTCTTGATGATAAAGGTTCATAGGGAACTTGGTTTTGTTGAGGTTTTTGAATAATAACAATCAAATTAACGTTAGATTATTTAACGTTCGTTAATTAAGTTTAGATTTGTTGTGTTTGGAATATTAACATAAAGAGAAATGTATGTTGAATTAAATAAAAAAGACGCTGAACTTTAAAGATTAAGTTGCTGAAGAAGTCTCAATAAAAGAACGAAACGTCCAACTTAGTTAAATTAAGTTCTACTTCTTTTCATGTCCAAGTTCCCTATGAACCTTTATCATCAAGAATTATAATTTTGGACGAGAGAAAGTACTGAATTATTTCTAATAACTATTAGAATATAATTCTTTTTGTTTTTAATTTAATTTTATTGATACTAATTGTTTTAGAATTGAAATTGAAATAAATGCAACGAATCTGATGAGATTCGACGAAGAAGAAAAGCGAGGAAAATTTCGTTCTCTCTCTCTCTCTCTCTCTCTCTCTCTCTCTCTCTCTCTCTTACACACGTACGTATACGGAGACACACATACTCGTAACATTATCAGTTAGAGCAAGTCTGAGTCGTTGCATTTCACGTTGAATTAGTTTCTAGAAGGGTAGTTAGAAGTATCCTTGTGGAAAATATCTCTCCTTCTCTCTTATTCTCTTACAATTAGGAAAGACACAATTGCGATGGGTGCCATCGAAGGGAAGAAACAATTTAAAGGTTGCTACGATTATTTCTATCCTATAACCGTTCTATCGTTAACGAGAACGATCTTAAAGTATCATTATGATCATGATCATCATCATTATCATCGTCATCGTCATCATTATCGTTAATGTCGTAGTCATTATTATCATTGAGAGTGATTTTTCCTATTGTGTTGAAAGAAATCGATTTGTTACTTCTCTACAATTTGAGTTCCATTATATTCTCAATACATTTAATAGTCTATTTTTTTTCGCTTACTTAAGTATAATTGTTCTCTTATATTTATATGATTATTTTAATAGTATATTTTAAGAGTATACTATTAAAACAAACTTGTATATATAAGAGTTGCAAGTATAATAAATTAATATTTTATTAAGAAGGTATCATAGGGAATTTTGGACATGAAAAAAAGAAGTAGAACTTAATTTTGATAAGTTGGACGTTTCGTTCCTTTATTGGGATCTCTTCAGCAACTGGAAATTGTATTTTATTGTTATTTTTATATTACGAAATACATATAGACCCATACATTATAAAATATTACATGTTTACCTTAATCTATAAAGTTCAGCGTTTTTTTTCTTTAAGAAAAGTTCCAGTTACTGAAGAAGTCCCAATAAAAAAATTAAGTTCTACTTCCTTCTTTTGATGTCCAAATTCCCTATGATACATTTTTATTACGAATTTTATTTTTGGACGAGAGAAACAACTGATTGATTAATATTTTATGATTTATTTTTTAACATGATACATATATATTGTATTTTAAACAATATATTACAAGTTATATTACAAATATTATAATATATGATATTTAGTTGGTTATTAAGGTGAAATATATATTAATAATCTATCGGCATGGTGAATTTTACTCACACCGTTTAAAACATCTGACAAAATTTATTAGTAACTATCTCTTTGGGGTTTCTAAAATATTATCTATAAGCTTACTTTGTTAACCCTTTGGGTACATTTGAAGTCTGAGACACGTAATTCACTTGTTTTTCATTCACCATGTCGTTTGACATCTTAATATTACATATGTCACCAAAATATTTTAGAAATAAATAAATTCTTACGTAAAATGTACTGCTTTTACATACTACTCTAAACAACCAAAAATTCAATCCGTATCACATGCAAATATAAACAAATCCCTACCCAAAGTGTTAATTAATAACTACAATAGAAAAAAAAAAATAAAAATAGTGATTAAAACATGACAAGGAGACCTACAGGGTGCCGATATAAGGTTAATATATATTTATATAATAATAATGCATATTATAATATCAATAATATATGGAATGCATGTATCATGTGGTCATGACGGTCGCACGAGTCTTCAAAGTTTATGTCGTAGACACGGGGAATCCGTTATTCGGTTCGTGTAACCGCACGAAGCGCATTAGAGAAATTTCCTAGGGAATACTTCGGGATTCCCGGGACGGATAATTTGAATAAACCTATGCGGAAGTAACATGCCGGAACTCCAAGTTCTCACCGTACGCTATTGGAGTAGGAAGATCTAATTGAGTGGAAGTATGCCGATGTGAAGTGGCATCAGGTAGGTAGGCGTCCTCTCATCCTCCTCCTCATCCTCCTCATCCTCCTCTACGTTGTCTTCGTCCTTCTCATTCCAGTCTAGGTCCTTGTCAACTCTACGTAGGTACACGTCTTGACGCAACGCGATTATATGGCTTCTATAATTATTTCTCTACGTTCCTCCAACATCTTCTCGTTAGATCCTCTTCTTAACTCCAATCTGATTAATCATTCCTTGACTTTCCCCCTCCCACCCCCATGAATTTCATTCCTTTAACCCTTCTTTGCATGATAATGGAAATTTCAATCATAATATTTAGTCAACAAAAAAAGGTACTACTCAAAACCCTTGTACTGTATATTTGTTGTTGCTGGCAACTTTTTAAGCGACTATTGCGTACAACAAAACGCAGTTGTCAACAAATAGCACTAGGATTTTTTTCAATATTTTTCCTTTAATCTAGAGCATTAATTACATCAACCTGATTTATTTTAAAAGAAAAGAAAAAATCATGCAAAGAAGGGTTAAAGTTGTTACGTTCAAATTCATTCATTTATAATACATTGCACTTGTTTATGTTTCATTTTATTTACAAAACACTCGCGTTACCTTTATTAACAACGTTTGTTGTTCTTTTTTTCTAGTTTTTATCTTTCATTTATGTTCACTATATTATAATTGAAATATTTAAATAGTGCCTTCCCTTGTTATTTAACGAGATTTATCAGATAATTAAAACGAAATGTACCTACACACAATCGTTTACGTTTTCGCAATTGTGGAGACGTGTGCCTTTTTAAATGTTGCACAGAGGTATCCCACAAACATTCCCTTTCATAACGAATTTTCGCGAAAACGAATGTTCTCTCTCTCTCTTTTTTTCTGCTGGTATGCGTACGCGAAACCTATGTACTACGTGCCGTTAGCCAAACAAATCTGACCGGATTCGGAGATGGATCTCTCTCGGCCGTTTACCGCTTAACCATACTACGAACCGGTAGAATGCACTTTGTATGCGGTACGAGCAGAGTTTAACTTCGAGCAGAATTAGGTAACCAAACGAGCGAACGTGCTTCTCCTATACAACCTCCTCTTTCACCCCTAACTCCTACCCCCTACCCCTCTACTCCGTTTACTCCCTATTCTCTCCCCCGCACCCTCCCCCTCACCCTCCTCATCTTATCCTTCTTGTACAGTTTCTGCCTTTAACTACTATCAAACGTTATCCGTTTATCGAACTAACCGTTCGATACATTTTCATTTCCTATGATTACTCTCACCAAGTTTCCAAACCAACTAGATCCCAACACATTTTTGTTATATTTTTCGAATAATTTATAAAGGTTTTATAATGTATATTAATTTTCTATATTAATTTTAGAATTTATATTGTAATAATCGTGTATTAATTTGTTTTTGTTTCAACAAATTATTATTATAGTTTTATACTCTTGTGTGTTTGAGAATTATTTATTAGGTGGATGTGGATACTTTTTATTTTTATATTATTATTATTATTATTAATTGAATGAATTGTTATTTGAAATAATAAATATTAATAACGCGTATTATTATAGTTTTATACTTGTGTTTGAAAATTATTTATTAGGTGTGGATGTGGATATACTTTTTATTTTTATATTATTATTATTAATATTAATTAATTTATTTGAAATAATAAATATTAATAACGTGGATTAATATTATGATGAATTATTTATTACAGTAGGAGTATCACAATTTTGTGTGTAAATTTAGTTTTATTTATTTTTTAAAATACTTTCAATTGGATAAATTTTAGATGGTTTCGTTTCATTTGTCATCAATCATTTTTTAACTCTTACTCAATGTCAAATACCCCTCTCTCTCTCTCTCTCTCTCTCTCTTACAAACATGCGTTCAATTTGAAATAGCTATCGGACTACTTACTTAGTTGCTAGCCAAATCCTCTTATCGTATACCTCGAGGATTTCTGTTTGCTAGTTTCTCTCACAAGTTCATGCAACCTGATTGTAACAATAAGTTAAAGGGAACGAGCGAGAACCAACGAGAATGAGAGAGAACGAGAGAAAGAGAAGGCAAGTAATGTACTTGCATAACTGTTTCGAGAATAAACTTGAAGTTTATGGTTGATCGTTTGTCGTCATCGTAAATCATTGTTGCTCACTGAACGTTCGTTCATTTGATTCGACAATATTTTCCAAAATTATATAAACTTTCATTTTATTTAACAATTAAATTACTGATATAATTAATATAAAATATAATTATGCGTAAGTAATGCGTAATAATACTTACAATTCATCCTAATAAAATAAAATAATTTATCCTATTTTTCAAATAAATACATATACACACATATACACACACTATAGGAATTTATAATTTTGTTTTTAAATCGTTATTTATACTCGTT